ATATTCCAATTTTGAAAGTACGCTTTTAAGGCTTTATATCTACATCACAAAAAGCCGTGTTTTTCAATTCCGTCGGTTTGTCTGTTGGCGATTTTATTAGTGCATAATCCCAGTAGCATCTGCGCCGATTTCATTTGAAATTGGAATGATGAGATATAATCACGTGATAGGAAATAATAGATTCTTTTTTATGTTTGTTGGGGGTCTCCGATCATTTTCTATCATGTTCAGTTTTTCTTTATGGTGGGTTCAAAAATTTTTGAAACTCAAAAACGTTATTTTTTGGTTTTTGCTTTTTATCAACCCAACCAGTCGTAAACAGCACCGCTTATCATCGTTAGGATGTCGTCGATACGACATAGGCTATCGGAAAGCAAAGTGCTCCGTAGAACATACAACCTCTCGGACATGTGATAGAAGAAGGTTTCCTTGATTTTGTGGGCTGCTCGATGTTCCGATAATTTCAGAGCATAGTCAAAGCATTTTTTGCATGAGTTACAAATTTACGAAACAGGTTGGGCATCCTTCTTTCGTATGCTAGCGATGTTTTGTATAGTCTAAATCGAGTAATTAGTGTACTTAATGTTGCTGAATGGAGATCCTTGGAAGGTAATAGAATAATACAAGCCCGAGCTAGGAGACTTCAATTGTATTATCTAAAGAGAAATAACTGAAACTTGGCACCACTGCACGGAGGACTTATCCACTGGTATTTAGTTAATTTGAGTATTTTGGAGGACCTAATGCCACTTTGTTATCTGGAGGGTATTCCGGTAGAGGACACATTATACGGTTTTTGAATGGGAGACCTATATAGCGGACTTTGTCTGGAAATCCGAAATGTTAATGTATAGTTTTTTAACTGATCTTGGATCAACGTGTCTTAGTGTCGGATATTCACGAATTAAATTTGATGTATATTCAGTATTTCTGGTAGGTCACTTATTGCTGGTTTATGAAAGGATGACCTATCCACGTGGAGATGTAAATATATATATATATATATATATATATACGTAGTCGTGCCATAAGTTCTGTCCCATGATAATCTCATGATAAAAATGAAACAAGATAAGATATATTTATATGAAAGATATTATTTATTCGACAACATTTTTAGAATTCATAATCAAACAGTTTTATTCAAAATGTCCCCCCTTGGCCTTCACACACTGCTTCAATCTCGCGGGCCACTCATCTATCACTGCACGCACAGCTTCCAAAGGAATAGCTGCCGCTGATCGGATCAAATCCGCTTTCAGGGACTCGATATTACGGTGGGCTTTGGAGCAGGCCAACTGCTCTAGCAGGTCCCACAACTTGTAGTCTAAAGGATTGAGGTCCGGACTCCCTGAGGGCCAATCTTCCGCAGCAATGAACTCTGGCACATTGCTTTCCAGCCAGCGCTGCGTACTCTTAGCCTTGTGAGCGGGGGCGGAATCCTGCTGGTAGACCCAGTGTTGGTTGGCAAACAATGTACCACTTAAAGGCTTGACGATAGGATCCAGTATGTCGCTCTGATAGTTTGCCGCTTTTGTTTTCACGCCCTGTTTACAGAAATGGAGCTGAGTGACCCCTTCGTAGGACACCCCCCACCAAACCATGACTGACGCAGGGTGGTGGCCTCTCTCAACTCTCGGAATGATCTCCGAAGCTTCCTGTGAACTCCTTGCATACACTTTGTCATTTTGTCGGTTGAATTTTTCTTCTATGGTGAAGATTTTCTCATCCGTGAACAAAATCTTTCGGAATCCCCCAGCTGCGTACCTCTCCAAGAGCTTCTTGGATCTTGTCGCCCTGATGTGTCGCAAGGTCGCCGTAAGTCGCTGGCCCGTACGTCTCCGGTAAGCCCCTAGCCCTAGGTCTTGTTTAATGATGCGCGACATCGTCCGGACAGGAATCTTCATTTCCCTGGATAGGATCTTCTGCTTCCGGAGTGGATTCCTTTGAATCCTGGCTTTTACGGCTTTGATGGCTGCTGGAGTCCTTACTTGACGAGGTCTTCCGCTTCTTGGCCTGTCATCAACAGAGGACGTCTCATTGTACCGCTGAATGGTCCTAGACACAAATTTACGCGATATTTGAAGGCCGCGTAAGAGTTCAAAAATCTGACTAGCACTGTGATTACACTTATGTAAAGCTATCACTGCAATACGGTTCTCTGCCTTGCCCCACTCCATCGTTATGCTTCGAGAGATCAATACAAACTGAGGTATATGTAATTACCCGAAAAGCGCTTAATCAACTGACACCACAATGTAAACAATCGGACAAGTATTAACAGGTCTACACTTGTTTGAAAACGAGGGACAGAACTTATGGCATGACTACGTATATATATATATAACAAAAAAAAAATAGGAAAATAATGGGTAAAATCCGCAAAAAGGAGGAAAGTGGATTCGAGCAGAAAACAGAAAATAGGATAGGTAACCCGAGCGATACGTATTTCTGCTGGTTGGCTTCATCAGGCCCGAAATGAATGCACGTATGCAACTACAAAAGTAGATACACATGCTCACACATCCGGATACGGGTGTAACCTGAGGAAATAAAGATGGATGGGAAAAAATCACACACGAAGTCCACAACAAGAGCCAACTTACACATTGTAGTATAAAATAGCCAGAAGACCTCGAATTTTCAAGGCGGCATCTAAACACAACCACGCGGCCGGTTATAGCCACTTGCTGTGGTACTTCAAGCCCAAAGGATCTACAAAGAGAAAATAATCATGCGGAGAAATGTAAATAACAAAAAAATAGGAAAATAATGGGTAAAATCCGCAAAAAGGAGGAAAGTGGATTCGAGCAGAAAACAGAAAATAGTATAGGTAACCCGAGCGATACGTATTTCTGCTGGTTGGCTTCATCAGGCCCGAAATGAATGCACATATGCAACTACAAAAGTAGATACACATGCTCACACATCCGAATACGGGTGTAACCTGAGGAAATAAAGATGGATGGGAAAAAATCACACACGAAGTCCACAACAAGAGCCAACCTACACATTGTAGTATAAAATTGCCAGAAGACCTCGAATTTTCAAGGCGACATCTAACCACAACCACGCGGCCGGTTATAGCCACTTGCTCTGGTACTTCAAGCCCAAAGGATCTACAAAGAGAAAATAATCATGCGGAGAAATGTATATAACAAAAAAAAAATAGGAAAGTAATGGGTAAAATCCGCAAAAAGGAGGAAAGTGGATTCGAGCAGAAAACAGAAAATAGGATAGGTAACCCGAGCGATACGTATTTCTGCTGGTTGGCTTCATCAGGCCCGAAATGAATGCACGTATGCAACTTCAAAAGTAGATACACATGCTCACACATCCGGATACGGGTGTAACCTGAGGAAATAAAGCTGGATGGGAAAAAATCACACACGAAGTCCACAACAAGAGCCAACTTACACATTGTAGTATAAAATAGCCAGAAGACCTCGAATTTTCAAGGCGGCATCTAAACACAACCACGCGGCCGGTTATAGCCACGTGCTGTGGTACTTCAAGCCCAAAGGATCTACAAAGAGAAAATAATCATGCAGAGAAATGTATATAACAAAAAAATAGGAAAATAATGGGTAAAATCCGCAAAAAGGAGGAAAGTGGATTCGAGCAGAAAACAGAAAATAGTATAGGTAACCCGAGCGATACGTATTTCTGCTGGTTGGCTTCATCAGGCCCGAAATGAATGCACATATGCAACTACAAAAGTAGATACACATGCTCACACATCCGGATACGGGTGTAACCTGAGGAAATAAAGATGAATGGGAAAAAATCACACACGAAGTCCACAACAAGAGCCAACCTACACATTGTAGTATAAAATTGCCAGAAGACCTCGAATTTTCAAGGCGACATCTAACCACAACCACGCGGCCGGTTATAGCCACTTGCTGTGGTACTTCAAGCCCAAAGGATCTACAAAGAGAAAATAATCATGCGGAGAAATGTATATAACAAAAAAATAGGAAAATAATGGGTAAAATCCGCAAAAAGGAGGAAAGTGGATTCGAGCAGAAAACAGAAAATAGGATAGGTAACCCGAGCGATACGTATTTCTGCTGGTTGGCTTCATCAGGCCCGAAATGAATGCACATATGCAACTACAAAACTAGATACACATGCTCACACATCCGGATACGGGTGTAACCTGAGGAAATAAATTTGGATGGGAAAAAATCACACACGAAGTCCACAACAAGAGCCAACCTACACATTATAGTATAAAATTGCCAGAAGACCTCGAATTTTCAAGGCGACATCTAACCACAACCACGCGGCCGGTTATAGCCACTTGCTGTGGTACTTCAAGCCCAAAGGATCTACAAAGAGAAAATAATCATGCGGAGAAATGTATATAACAAAAAAAATAGGAAAATAATGGGTAAAATCCGCAAAAAGGAGGAAAGTGGATTGTCTTTATATTGATGGTGGATATGCCACCGGTGCCAACAGCATGCACCGACATTCGGGCTCGGTTGATCCACGATATTCTAACCTCTACAATTTACCATTTTTTTGACAAATACAGTTTTGTGTGAAAAAATGGAAGAAGGAAAGATTGAAGTTAGGCTACTGCATAGGAGTGGCGTGAAATTTAATGTTTTTTAACACAATTCGAAATAAACAGAGCATCTGGAGGCAAGTGATTTTATTTTGAATTATGCATATCTGAAGATTTGCTCAGACTAAAAATATAAATAGACTTACCATTCTTACGGCACTGTAATGCATGAAGACAAACAAACCCAATTCAAAACAAATACAAACAATAAGCTGTGTATGTGCAGACCACAGCTGATTCCACCAGTGGCGTAGGTGCTTTTTTGTAATGGTGTTCTGGTTAATACACCCAGTATCACCTTCCATGGCAGTGAAAAGAATAAACACAGAGAAGTAAACAAGGTTTTATTATTGGAACTTAATTATCAGGTTTATTGTTTCATAATACCTAGTACAAAGGTATATAAACAAGAGAGAGAGTATTATGTAAATAATAAGAATTGAGTAGAAAATTTCCTGTCCAGAGTATGAATACAAAAAAAATAGTAAGAAAATGATAGTAACCATGATCAAAAGTTGTATATAAAAAAATATATAAACAAACAGAAAAAGAATAAATAATTGACGCATCAATTTAAATATTCTGTCTTAATATTGAAGGCACAAAAAAACTATTCATTCCTTAAGAAAGATCTTAGCTTAAATAGTTCCCTAAAGTATTTAAAAAGTTTGTATCATAAATTCAACTCATTCGTTTTATTTAGGCAAGCAAAGACACAGATTTGGTTCAAACGATCTGACAGAATATGCTCTCTCAATGGATTGTATAATGGACATTCCAAGAGGAGATGGCCTAAAGATTCAGTCTTTCGAGTATTGCATATTGTACAATAGTCTGTTAACCCTGTATGAAATATTGTTTAGGAAGATTTTGAGACTACATTTATTGTGGAGCTTAAGTTGGATTATAAATCGTTTTATACATAACGGTATACTTGGGGATTTAGCGTACTCTGTAGACTCTGATAGCCATTTTAGCCATTTAGCGACGCAGTTCTGCACTATATTTTTCTTTTTTTCGGCCTCTTTGAATTTTGTTGAAAATGTCTTCTGCAATGGAGCCCTGAGAAATGAGGATTTTTAACAACAATCAAAAAATAAACATGTAATCACTTACATTCAAGCATGTGTTGAGCATTCTCCGATATCATATTTATTCGCTTCAAATGGTTTGTCAATGCTTGAAGAGACCAAATTTTGTTTGCTTGTCTTCTTGTTTTGGCTCGTAAACAGTCAATTGTCTTTCTTTGTTTCTTATACGTGTTTTGAATGACTTTCCAGCAAATTGGCCTTTTAAGTGGGTTTTCCAAATCAGTATAACGTATATCGCCGAAGTATCGAATAGGTTTTGTTTTCATTCTGAAACATTCAAAGCTTAAATGCTACTATAAAGCAAACGCCAAATCTACATAAACGTCACCTTTTATCAAATCTTTACTTCAGGTTTAATTACCACCAGACTATACTTGAAGAATCAAAATAAAAGTTTAATACCTTTTCCGTGGAGGTTCACCATCACTATCATTTTCTTTGAGGTTATCTTCCTCATTGTCAGCTTTTGCTTCTATGAATGTGTTTAAAATCCTGAAATAATGAAAATACAATGCACTAAAATAAAGACTGATATTAGCTGGCTGAACTTGAAAATAAAAGTAGATAGGTACGTACATCATATCTAATTCTGAGGCATGGGTACGGGACTGTGGTGTCACTGGGATACTTCCAGTACGTGATTGTGAAGCACTTAATGTAGCGGATTCAGATAATGACTGGGTGCCTGACAGCAAAGCTGATAGGGTGATACTATCTGTTGTTCGATCATGTTCAGGAAAACTGTATTCACATACCATTTCTGGTGACTTTATTTGTTCTCTGTAAACACTTCAATAGTCAAACTTCTAGATACTTTGGAGATTATTTAATTTCATACCTAGGTAGATCCCTGCTTTCCAGTTGTTCGCTATTTGAATGGCTTAGGGCAATTTCCTGGGCAAGATTGATTTCATTCTCCTCATCACTGGAATCACTTTAAAATAGATAAGTAAAAGTATAGCAACAAAATATTCCATTTCATCCAATAGCTAAATATAATTAAGGACTTACTCTGTTTGCCTCAAAGGCTCTACTGATGGAACTGCTGAATGGTTTAGTTGAGTTCTTTTGCCGTCTATTAAATCACTTTTGTGAAAATGATTTGCGCAAATAAAGGCATGAAGTGGTAAATCATTTATCTCAATATTGAGGATAGTGCGCCATTATTCTTGTTTTTTCTTATCACTAGGAAACCTGAAAGATCAAAAACGTGTCTAACAGAAGAGTATTTTTTGAAAATCACCACACATAAAGTGTAAAAACAACCAATAACTATAAAATGTCTATTTCTTAATACTAAAAATCACAACGCATCCCCATGCGCTACGCCCTTGTCCTCCCCTAACCTCTAACTCACCTGTCGAAGGTTGCCTCAGTTTTTTCACTGCTAACTCCACAAAGAATGCACTTCCGACGTCCCATTGTCTTTGAAAATTGTCTATCAATGATAACAATGCTATAATTGCCTCTAAAACAACCTGAAAACAATTTTGAATACTCGCAACAAATTCACTGTGCACAACAACAAACACCAGATGTTTGTAAATTCTGTGTACGCATCCACCACTAACTTGCCGTTGAACACCGTTGCCACGTTCGGCAAAAAGTCGGTAGAAATGTGCTACTTTCGAATGAGAGCAAGTTTCGTCCAAGGTGGAACAAATCCAGTCAAACAACTGACTGGGCAAAATATTATATGAACACCCAACATGAACCTGCATCCGTTTTGAATTGAATTTACGGCGTGTCGGCCACCACTGTGACCGTTTTTGCGAGTATAAACAAATATGAAAAGAAAAAATAAATTTTTAAAATTTAAAATGACGTTGACAACTGCCTAGGAGCAGTTGTTTGATCGACCCACGATCAACCGGAGCGTCCACACCTTATTTAAGTCTACCTTCATTTCGGGCGGAGTGCACACCAATATCTCATTCCATTTTCAATAGATTTTTCAGTATGGAGAAGTGGCAGCGTCGCATATATTTGTTTACCGTAAATACAGTTATGTTGACGACGATATTTTGTAGGGAATTATTTGTCTATTTATATTTTTAGTCTGAGGAAGATTTGCTCTTTCTCTCCACTGGATAACTTCTTCATCCAAATCATCACTTGAATCGTTTAACAAACGTTCCACCACAATACCAACAGCTGCTTACATTGCCATAATGATTTTAAATGATGCGGAGTTCAAACTAACAAGTATTTATTCACGATAAAACAAAGGTTAGGTTTTCTCATATGACAGCAACCTGAAGGCTAAAAATGCGTCGTTTTGTTAACCACTATTCAACGGAACCGCTTGCTGACGTCATCACATCAGCTGTTAACCATAAGCTCACCGGATCCATCAGTGATGGAATCATACGGTGAATGAAAGAATATACCTTATATCTCTGAGCCACAGAAGCAAAGCGACTCAGGCTTTCGATTCACCCATCACTAGTGTGATGAAATGGAAATTTGTCCCTTCTCTTTCTTGGATTACTTGAAATAGTGATGTGCTTTCTAGTTCGTTTCATTAAGTTGCGTTCAGTTCTAGGAACTAGTTCGTGAACAAACTAGTTTATGCAACAATATCACAAAAAATATAGATACAGAAACAGAGCAGATATTCCAGTCTTTCAGTCGAGATAACGTTTCATATTTTTTAACCATTCCAATGCATCCAACTGATCGCAAATGTATTCTCCCATCACTAACATTATGAGACACAAATGTCAATTCCTCGATATTAAACAAAAATATTTATATGAAAAATCGCTAAAAAATCGTAAGAGCTTGTGAAAAGATAGTTACTGTAAATAATCTGGTAATCTGGTTTGCTGGCAGATTTATCATAAATATTTCGATGTCTTTCAAAAAATTGCTATAAAGATGATGCGACTGGGATCCACAGTGGATGAAAACTAAAAAGGTCAACTGTAATTGAATGTATGGATGTTGAAAATCCTGAACAGTTTCAGACCAGTGGTGTCAAAATGTCGTTGAGGAACTGGAAAGAAGTGTATGAATGTGTTGATACGCAACACCTAACAAAAATTTGAGTGAAAAGGCTTTTTCATGTAAGGGTTTGGAAGTGCAAGTTTGCAAATGTAGAATAAACTATTAACACATGGTAGGTGATGTCACGTTAGTATAATCACATATTGATCACAAAAGTTGCAATAAACATGGAGAAACCTTCAGCTAAACTGAAAAAAAATCAAGCATTTTGTTTTGAATACGTTGATGCTATTTGCTGCCAAAAATCTGACGGAGAGATCTTGAGGCTCATTGGGTATATTTGACGGTCTGTTTGGTACTCGTACCCTATTTGTGGAAAATTACAATATACAATATATTACAAAGTGATGGCGATATATACAGTGGTTTTATATATAACACTAAAATAAAACTTGTAGTTTTTTATGTGGTACCTAGATAACTTAATATCCGTATGCACCAATCTTAAATAATGTGTAATGTGACATTTTAGTAATAAAATAGTAAAATAAATAAAACAAAATAAATCCAGGTCACAATTATTCGACAATCTATATAATTATAATGTCATGCCAATTACTTTGTAGCCAGTTAAACAAGGACAAAAATCAACCAACTCAGAGGGACGACTGACGATACGGTCCTAAGTCCCGTATCGTCAGTCGTTCCTACAATGATTGAAGGACGCCTTTATCGCCTCCTTGATTTTCATAATAGCATGTCATCTTCAGTAAGGTACTTGTATGTACTGCTTTAGATTTCTAGTCTGCTATCAATCACAAGTCAATTGTGACGTTAGGTGATGTTTCTTTTTTTGACGCTTAAGAAATTTGAAACATGAATTAAATGCCGAAGGATATTTTCTTGCAAATAATGTTGAGTCAAAAAATAATTCCCTACATGGAACAAATTCGTCAAGCTGTGGTATCTTCAAGTCCCATATCTGGTACTAATGATCTAAAATGAACAATGCAAATGGATGTGTAAGTATAAATAAAAGCCTAACAGCTTACAACCAAGCTGTTCCTTGATGAAGGTAGGTAAGTTACAAAATTAATCATTGCATACTCATATTTATATACTTATTGCATTTTTTTCAGATGTGGTTCGTTCTCACAGACTTTATGAGATGTTGGATAAGAAACATTGTATCCCAAGTGCAACTGCATTGTTGATGTCGGAGATGCATGTTCAAAAATCATTGCTGGACTTTGGATTGGTAGTGTCAGGCTACAAGTATGTACTCGTATAATGTGTAAATGCTCTGAAATTGAGTTTAAACATCCATATCTGATATTTTTTTTATATTAGTGAGAACCTTAACCTAAAAGTTTGAGACTATAGCTCTAAAAAATATTATATAGCCCACACCAAAGTGTAAAATTTTTAATGTTTCTTGAATGTATGCATCTTTTTTACAAATATTAACCATCGTGATATTTCATACAAAACTGGGCAAAATTCCATATATATTTTGGAAGGATATTTGAAGGAACCAACCTTACAGAAATAAAAAGTGAATTTGCTTTTTGTGATTGGCATACTGCAATTTGTAAATTAAAGGTAGGCATAAGCCTGTATAATCATAAAAGTTGAAAAGCTATCGATTTCAAGAGGAGCTTTGTTAGGCCTGGGCAGGGGGTTCTCGAATGTCTAATGGTCAATGTTGCATGTGAGAGCTAAAATGTCACACGAAACTTGATAAAGTACCTTTTTGAATATCGTAATTTCTATTTGTCAAAATCTCACAAAGCTGATGCAATGGGTTTGAGATTGAATACTTGACATCACAGCCCAGGGGCAAATGATGACAATCTTAAAAATAAAATGCTATATGAAACACATATTTTAACACTTATGGTTATATCGCTACTTAGGACTAAAACATAAGAAATCACCATTACTTATAATAGTATTTTTTCAGATCTACTTGCATTGCACAAAGATACATCGGATCCTGATAAGCCCAAGGTACAAGATACTGTTCCAAGACAGAATAACTCCAGTGAAAGGAACGTTATTAGGGGAAAAAAAGAAGAGTCAATATACATATTTAAAATGGATATTTCAAGAAGTTTGGTACCTACAGTTAATAATATGATTTGCGTGTAATTGATTAGATATCCTTTAAGCCCTGTTTACATAGCTTGTAAAAACATTTCTTTTAAGAGAAAAGAAGGATTAAAAATTGATAAAACCCTATATTTCTAGATATCTAGAAAGAACCTATTGTATTTCTGTGGATATACAATCGAGAATAAAAAATATTTATTTTACCAAGTATTCTTTTATTTATATTCTGCAAATGAAAAATAGAATACATGAAATTGTTAAGGAATTCATAGGTAGTATGTCAAATCAGTAATCAAATGAAGTCCTTATATCTAAAAGGTACAAACTAATAACATGAAATATGAACAAATATATAGCCAAAAAAAATATATCCAAAATGAAAAACTACAATAGTGTATTACAATAACCTTTAATAATTTTAGATTTACTTACATAAAATAAATAGGATGTTTTCCAACTGAATGTCAATATTTAAGAGTTCGACTTTTGCTTCCATTTTAAGAAGAAAACTTCATGTAGTCGTATGTCCTAAACGTCTTGACTTTTGAGAAACAAGGCGGTAAATAATTAAAAATTAAAAATCAATAATTTTTTGATTAAGATCTGTAATACCACTTTAAATACTTTATTGAAATTGAACATACATGTACTATCAAGAGGTATTTTTAATGGATCAATTTTCTTTTAATTTCCACCAGCGACGTTCGTACCGATTTCACTTGCCTATTATGACAGGCAATAATAGTACGCAAGTGATTTCTCTTAAAATAAAAACTACTCTTGAAATCCCGACATTTCTAAGCAAAATTGTTTGCTTAATTTTTTTTCACTCCGATGCACTGTATTCGCGTACAAAAATAAAATAACGTTTCTTTGCCTGATCCTAATATCGTTAGTGTGACAATGTCACTATGTCGAGAAATAAATTGTATTTTTCAGGTGAAAACCGTGCGTCAGACTAAAAGAATTAAATTTTTTATTTCCGACCCACGATTTCCATCCAAAAAATAAAAAACTTCTCTGCATGGTGTGTAGCGCTAGAAAAGAGCTGGATCGCTGACGGCCCGCCGGTGCGAAAGGGTCCCGAGACTGTTTGTTAGAGAAGAGTCATCGATCAGTCGGACAGCATCGAGCATAAATAATGTAGTCGGGGCGGCAGCACCCCAAACGTGTGAACAATACTCGAGGCTAGGTCTTATCTGGGCCTTGTATAGAGTGAGAAGATCATACGGAGAAAAGTACTTCTTAGCCCTAAACAACCAGCCTAGCTTTTTTCCAGCAGCTGCCGCTATTGACGAGATGTCTTCGTGCCAGATCAGGTCCTCGGTGATCTGGTCTCCGAGCAGCCGAAATGAATGGCTATTTGGCGGAACTCGGCCGTCCATCGAAACCGCATGAGCGCTAGGACGCTTTTTGTTCGTCAAAGTATAGTACTGTGTTTTGGAAGCATTAAACAGTACAAGATTGTTGCGTCCCCTACAGGTCTCGCGTCAAAGAGGAAGTCGTCGTTAGTCTTCTTTTTCCCAGCTCAGCGGCAGAGACCGGCTTGTCACTCTGAATTTCTGCATGATGAAGTTGATAATTTTAATTTGATACTTCCAGCATCTATCTACCTGTAATGATATACTTATCAGGGCTTAACCTAGTCTGACTTTTAGGTACCTACCATTTTCAAAATAATGGGTT